CCTTCCCGTTGCACGGTGTATAGTCTGCCAATGTGGGACCTATTTCAACAAAGCTTATACCTGAGGTTACCGACTATGGTATCATTTAACCTTGTGGGTGTCTGTTGTAGGTGCAGTTTCCCAGCTGAGGTTTCAGGTCTATCCGAGCGCACATGTAGCCTTTAAAGGTTTGAAGATTTTGGGTTTCAAGGTTGACGCTTCTATTTTAAGCTTTGAAGTCACGGTAGCAGCTGGAGGTTCGGAGCTAGGGCTAGGGTCTAGGATTCAGAACGGGTCGGTGGGTTCAGCTGCTTGGGGCTTTCGCAAAGACGTCATGCGTTGACCAGCTCAGCCTTGTACCAAGCTGACCCATCACTTGAACATGGAGCAGTTTGCATTTTTTTGAAAAGCCAAAGCCTTCATCACAAGCGGAGCAGCTGGTCGAGAGTTCAGAACTTACATCAAGTTACGCAGATCAATTACCGGGCAGTTTGAGCTTCAAGTTTTGGAGATGGCGGTGCACAAATTTGTGCTCTGTGCCAAAACAGGGAGGCACGTGGAAAACACCAAACCAAAAGTAAGCGCTTTCCAGAATGCCCCCTAACAGAAACATCCTTTTGGTACTGTGCTGGGTGTCTTTGCTTTTCATAAAGGAAAAAAGAGAAATTGCCACAGTGCCACTATTGATGCTTGTGCTGCTGCTCCTGCTGCTGCGAACTGAACAGTCAGTGGAAGAAGTTCTGACCGGGTCCTGAGACCAAATCGTTGACGTGCAGCAGTCCGCTAGCTCAGTCAAGCTGGATGGAATGAGAGCACATGGCCGCCAAGCCAGTTTGAAACTATGCGCCTGCTTTGCATGCACATAAGAAGGTATCTATAGGGCGCCAGGATCTGTAGACTGCAACTGCCAAGAACGTAAACATTTTAAATCGGCGAAGGTTCCAGTGGTGTTCTGAGAGCTATGGTCAAGTTCAGCGCTCTCGTGTCGCGCTACGGCACCTAAGACTCTAGAGTACAAGTAAATTATGTCACAAGTGTTGAAACGCATGTCTCAGCCATGTCTCAGTCATGTGGGAGGTGAGGAGCGGGGAGCATAAAGACCCTGGATTTACCTGAATCTTTCCTCATTTACATAGGCCCCGCTCCCAGCTAATCCCAAACCGACAAGCCCAGCCTCTATTGGCCGCCAAATCTTTTTGGTCTGCTTCCTGAGTTGGACCCATCAATTAAGCTAGTCTAAACTCCTTAAAGTTGGATTATATCGGGGATTATATCGGGGAGCATTATAGGGGTTCTTAAGGGGATACGAGGAGTTCAGACAATGGCTCAATTCAGTCTGAAGTTGTGCAGGCTTTTCCTTCACTACTTTGGGCACGTGCATGGGAGACTCCTGGAAGCAATGTCATGACTCTTTCTGCACTCTTTGAAGACCTTCCTGTATGTGCTTGTTCTAGTCACGCCGATCCACAGATTGTCAATGGTGTTCTCTTCCCTGAGGAAAGAATGCCAAGTGCCGCCCACTGCATCACAAAATCTCCAATGGAGAAGCCTCCCTGAAATACCTGGGGTGGAAGCCCCAATCTATGGAAACTGCATGCTGATTAACACTGGACTGTTGTCAAGCTCCAAACTTCCCAAGCTGAAATTCCAACATTGAGCGCCAGACAGCTCAGAACGAAGCCTGCATCCACAAATGCTGTCGAACCACAGGCAGAGTAAATAATAATATTGACAGCAGTGGCGCTATGGTATTAACACAGGAACATCTAGAAACTGTACTGGCAAAGCACGAAACGGAACGAAGGTATCACAAGCCGGGAAATTCTGAAAATCCTGTTGGTGGCAACAATCACAGACATGTCAGGAAATATGGTGTCGGTGCACAGTCCCAGCGAATGCCCAAACGCCTAAGGCACGAACCCGGGGCCTTTGGGTTCTAGATCTTTGCGTCTACTTGCCTTGAAGCTTTGGGGATTTAGAATTGCAAGGAGAAGGCGAGTCCAAAGATACTTCAGGATGACTTTGCGGATGCAATCCTCCAACGGGTCTTGCCCTCACCTGCAAAGGTATTCCCCAGTTCTCAGGTAGCGCGCCTGTTCGAGGCATCCACGGTATCGCGGGCCATCTGCTCAGAAATCCTTAATCTCAAGTCAGGAAATGTAGCTTCCTTGCCACCGCCGTGGTGAGGAGTTCTACAGACAAGGCTTCCTCTAAGAGCTGCCGTTTTGGGTGGTTCCCTTTTTTATACCGCTTGATGGGACAACCGTAGCGCAGAACATTGAGGATAGCTTGGAATGAGTTGACATGGTTTGAGATAGCGAAAATATCGGTGCGGCATGGCTGGCCAAAGCCCCGCGGAATTTTCGGGCAAACCAAGCGATCTTTGTACAAAGCATTTAAGAGTTCGCTTCAAAGCTCATTGGGACCTGTATCGGGGGCATCAGTCCCATCATTTCCACCCTTGACATGACATGGATCCCCGACGCTAGGTACAAGTACCTGCAGCATGTTTTGGCATGCACGCGGTCTGAGGGAGTGGCCGTAGAGCTTGCGGTGACGAATAAGCGAGCTGGTTAAGAGTTCAGGTCTGGAAGAAATCTTTTGGAAGGGGGGTGGGCTGGCTCCAAAAACTCAGCAGCGGGTTGATGATTAGAGGAATTTGGAGTTCAAAGCCTTGCTGCTCTCAGCCTTTGAGCGTAACGCTGAGCCCAACAAAAATTGGGGATGAGCGCCCGCAAGCCATCAAACCTGGAGCTGAACCAGACCCCAAACTGTCAGTCCTAAAACCATGAGCCCCTCCACCTGTAACCTTTCGACCTGCTCAGCAGCAACTCTGAATTCCACACAGGAAAGGCATGAGGGATCGGCTTCGTCGGCGATGCGCAGGCCTGCGCGGAAGCAAGCAAACATGACCCTGCGAGCACATAGCATTCGGCCGGGAGCCTGCCCCTAACCCTCCAAACTCTGTCTCAAAGATATCCCATTGGCACGGCAAAAAGAAAAACCTTGCTTGGGTAGGATGTGCCTTGGAAACTTAGAGGATCTTAGTTGTCGTGGCAAGGCCTCTTGTAAATTTAGGGGTTGCAAAGGGTCCTGGTCCGGGGTTGCACGGCAGTAGATTTCCAATACGCGCATGGGTTCGTCATGTCAACGACAACTTATGTTCAAACTCCAAGTCAAAAAATCCTTCGGCCCAACCCCTCCACAAGTTGAAACCTGCCAACCTTCCAACCTGCACGGGCATGCTCTTCCACAAGACGTTGCAATCAACCATGCCATGGGTCTTGCGGGCCTGGTCTGCGATAACCAGGTCAAAAAATTCATCGGTCATCCAGGACACCTTCTCAACTTCAGGACTGCGCACAAGGATTCATACCATAGGCTCCTCAAACTGAAGGTCTTTCGGGTTTAAGGGGCTACCGTCAACCTTAAGCATCCTCAAGACATGCCCGGGACTGTATCCAAGGTGGGGGGGTTCTTGAAAGGTTGCTGAATTGTCTCGTCCAGGCCTCACCCCCGCTTCCCCAACTACCCTGCTGCCTCGCCCCGGCCACCTTTGCCGAGTGCCGTTTGGAACTCCTGGCAGCCGAGGGGAATGATTGCGGGAAAGCAATGATCAACATCTAGTATTGGCCTCGCTCAGCTACAAATGAAAGACCGCACACCAAACACCGAAATCAATTCTGCAACACGGCAATCTAATGCTCGATGTCGACGCATTCAAGGTTCCACCTCGTACCTGAGTTTTGGAAATCTTGGCAACAGGTTCTATGAGCCACATGCCAGCATTTCAAAGGTGACTAGCAATCAAATGGCCCTGGTACTTCCTCTCTGGTGCTTCACGACATGCTTTCACGTTTCACCTTATTCTGCTCCTCTTTGGCAAGCGGCAACAGTCCATCTGCCTGAGCATCACAATTGTGGAAGCTTGCTCATACAAAGTGCGCAATATTAACAATTCTAAGAATCATAGTAATCCTAGATGAAATCTCTCCACCCCTTGAGGGTTCTAGGTTGAGGGGCTCCAAGAACTCAGAGGCTGGAGGGACGCCCAGATCCCACAAAAACTCAGGACACGTCCAGCAAACGCATGGAAGAGTATCACACAAGCGGAAGGGTGCACCCTTCACATGCCATCCAATGATTCAAGTCCATAGGAACTCATGGGGCTGGAAGAAGCAGCTGAAACAACGATACCGTTGCATACATGTGGGCATATGGTTGGGTTTGCGCTACATCCTCTCATAATCACAGCGTGCTCCAGTCACACTCTACAAAAGTGGCGAAGATGAAGCATGCAGCACACGGCATGTGGCCAATGTTCATGTGATAAATTCTGATCTTTCCACCTAGTGCTCCTAACCAAATCTTCTCAATGTGTTTCAAACAACCATGACCAGCAATGTTCTGTTGTGACTGCGCGGCGAACCTTGACAACCTTCACACTGCCTCGCTCTGCATTACATCCGCTGCAAAGAGACGTGACGATACAATCCCGACAAAGCCCATGCGGCCTAGAAACCATTTAGATGCACAGAAGGGAAGGCTCAAGCCAGGCCACCCTCCACAGGCTCGCCGGCTGCAGCTGACTGCAGGCGGCCAGGCCATCCGGCTATCCCTCTTCGAGCCAAATGCCGAATCCAGCATAGCCCGGACACAGGGGTCATTCTCAAAAACAGGATCCCCTTATACACTCCAGCTTTAATCCCGGAAATGGTACCTTAACGATCAGAATTCTAAACCCTGAAAACGAGGGAATACTTGTTGGGGCATGTTGGAGCTTCCAATCGGCTCGCCCACGAACCAACCTCAAAATCGTACTGTAGGGCGCGCATCTAGCCTCTCCTTGCCTGCAGCAATTCAAATCGGCATACTTTTCTGGGCCCGTGCCAGAGAAGCATCAAGAAAACTCACACAGAGGCTGCGTTCTGGAATAGACCTTGTTGTTTTGCTGGCTTCGTCGCCTAAATCTTACCCAAGCCCTCACGCATACGTTGTCCGTGTACTGGATTTTGGCAAGCTCAAGCTGTCCGAGGCTTGGCGCCGCTCAGGCACGGGACCTGGTGCACGCTTTGCTGTGCATGCTGTGCATCAGACGCAGGGTCGCCTGAGAACTACTCAAAATCCATCGCTGCAAGTGTTTCAAACTCGGGGGGGCATCATGCCATCATATTTCCTTTGCAGACAAAAGGCCTCTGCCGTCTGCTTGTCAATCTGAGGGCGATTTCGCAAGCTCACCTGTCCAACAGCACCAGGCCGGCATTTAGGGGAACGGCTTCCGGGTAATTATTGATCTGAAGCTCTTGGATGCCATAGGAGCCATGGACAGGACAGAGGAGGGATCGTAGTCACCGTACTGAAAGGAGACATGGGAATCACAATCTTAACCTTCATGCCCACACGAAAATGATGCCGACTACGATAACTCCAGGGAACACAAACACCTCTTGCAGGCTTGGCAAAAATGGGTGCGCCCTCAACAGATTTGCTGATGTCAAGGAAACTACGAAGCAGCTCTCAAAGCTGCCAAACTCGCTGGACCCGGAGCTCCAAAATGATGTTTTCTTGTCTCTAACGCTGTCTCGCACTTTACCCCAGGCAGCTGCCTCCACGAGATCGCCTTTGAAGCCATCCGGTGGGTCCTGAAGGCCATGACAGCATGACACTTCCGGGCAGCAGTCACCAGAGCCACAGGCTCCTATTAGTCCACACAGACAGCCTGACCCTCTTCACTGGTCCTGCCAGGTCTGTTTGCGCTTCTTCACTGTGTGCTCCTCAGACCGGTGACAAGGGAGAGTCCCCCGAGCACATCCCAGTTGCTCAAGGTTTCCATTGCAAACTCCCAACATCAGCATCGTTCGCCAAGAACTTCCCAGAGTATAACATCGCAGACGAACGCTGACACTGCAACCCTCAACCCCCAAGAACTTGAGGAGTGCGAACCTCCCTTTGCAAGGTCAGCTGGCCACGGGTACTCCAGCCAAAGGAGAGCAATGGCCGCTCCATGTCACATCACAGCCAGGCAAACTGAGGCTCCCACCATCTTCTCGACGGAGCCAGTGAACCTGAAAAGCACACATGCAAGGATCAACTGCTCTGTTCAACGCACAGGGGGTTTCCTCGATATACCCTTAGGGAGTCGGAGGCCGGAGCTGCTTAGGCTTTCATCATACTCGTCCTTGACATTGGAATGAGTTCTCAAAGTCGGATCTATTTTGGCCTAAGCTGAAACAATCCGTGCGATACTTGCGCCTAGAGCCTAAACCTTTATTTTATGTGGCAGATGGACCCCAGGCCAAGGCCAGCGCTGCAGAAGCAGTGGCCTGGCAACGGCTTCGGCTTCTTCGCTGATGGTCCTCACCAAGGAAGCTGCACATTTTTTACCAAATTTGTGAGGCTACCAAAAAGCTCCAGTCCTCGGCCTCGGCCGCGCCCTCGTTTCTGCTCGCCTCTCTAAGGTCTTCCTCAACCACGCCTGCTGGAGTCTGAAAGCCTTTAACGCCAGACGCACGCAAACAGGTCAGCCTTGGCATCTGCTTTGGCAGGACCTCCTGCAAGTAAGGCCGACTGGACATAGGAAGTTTGTGCTTGGAGGGCTCTCTAGCCAATCAGAACACCCACGAGCCTGTGCTACCTGCATTGGAGAAGATGCCTTCGGTGATAGAAGAATCAGCCGTGGGGCCTGGCAACAACGTCCAAAATCGCAGCTGGATTGCAAGTTGCAAGTTGCACGCCAGTAAGAAGCGCTGGACTCGCTTTTGGGTGCTGGCTCGACAGGCTCGCCGATCGGCACCGCATCTGCTTCTGCGCCTCAGAATGCCACAACGCGGTTGGCTTCTGCACATCCAGCTCCACCCAGCATTACAGAACATCCGAGAACACCGAGCGGCAGACTGGCAAGATCTGGCGCAGGTGGCCCCACGCGAACCTCTCCACGAGGAAAGGTTAAGGTTCAAAGCATGCAGGGGGTCTGTACAGGTCTTTGAAGCATTCCAGGCTATCGCTGGCTATTGCGGCCTCTTTGACTTTGCCCCATGCGTGCAGCAGGTTGCTGCTCAAGAAGCTCTCAGCGTCTGTGCGCTGGAGTCGGCCACGCGCCTCTCAGGCCCAAGGTTAACCCACCTCCGTCCCCTAGCAGTTGATGCCTGAGCTGGCGGCTGCGGGATCGCACAGTAGATCCAGCATGGCCAGGGATGCCGGGTATGTGATCTGTGCGCTTTCAGGAAAGCACTTGGGCGCGCATGTTCCAGCTTGAAAGCTCTGCCCAGACACGAAACAGAGGCCAAGGCGTAGCGCACATACTGCGGTCGCCTCCAGTAACGCCTCGGCTCAAGGAAAGGACTTTGCCATGCTCACCGATCTGGGACCAGCCAGATGCCACAGGGAAAGCAGGCAGTGATCAGACTATCGTGTCTCTTTATGCTACCTGAAACCAGCTTAAAGATTCGGTTCAAGAATCCGCCGCTACAGGGAAACAGCGCGAGTCCCTGACAGGTACTCGAGGAAGCGCGCGAAGCCGGAATCACCCAGAAAGCCCTGCGAAGCCAGCCACATCCTGGCTGTGAGCTGTGGAATGCAACTGCCAACTACAGCTAGATGCAGCTACTGTCAAACCTGCAGGATACACACGTAGCTGGGACTGGCCAGGCAAAGGACAAACTCTAATTCCTCGACGAAGCGGCGTGACCTGCAAAGCTCTTCAACAAGCAGCATCCGGCCCGAGACTTTGTCAGTGTCGGGTTACAACACGCCTGAGTGGAACAAGTACAGCCCTAGGGCCGCACCGTCAAGCTCACTTTGCACGGGGAGTCCAGCAATCGTCTTTAGATGAAGTAGACCCTATCCAAGACATCGTGGGAAACAACCAAGATGACCATGACACAGACCCAAAAAAAAGTCACGCGACCGGCCTGTCCTGTGCCAAATCCTGCAGCTTTGGGCGCAAGGCACCCGCATCAGGCAACTTTGGCCTGGAGTCTTTGCAACCCTAACTCAAAATACTCAATGCGAAACAACAGGCGGCAGCCTGTTCTCGGGCACATCATCAAGGGACTCTTCCAAAGCATCACCCTCCGCTCCAATCAGCCTCGCAAGGGCTTTTGGCAATGAGGAGAAGCAACAGCAGCAAAAGCAATTTGAAGCCTGCCTGCCAGAGAAGTCCCAGACAGCCTTCCTCGAGTTGGCAAGCTCACTTCGGAAGTTCCATCGAGCTGCAATTCATGTACTCAGAATTGTCCTCCGAGCAGCTCAGAGTCCTTTCGGAGCTGCTCTGCCTCACCGGCAACTCGCTGCAGCTCCTCCGTAAGCCGTGCGTCCTGACAGAGGATCCAAGACAAACATCCGCTTCCCACTCTTCCTCCAGCCCCCAAACCTGTTCTTGCAGATCCCGGATCGCTGCGGCAATGTCAGCATCCTTCCACCTGGCAACCTGAAGTTGCATCGCAACATGACAAGCAGCTGGCAGCTTCAGATGAATATGCCAGGCCTCATCAGGCACACTGCGGGCCAACAGCTGGAAGCGGCGGCAGGATTCGTGCAGCCCTGAATAGAAACCACGAGAACTCTAATAATTTAGTAGTCCAGGTAGGGTGAGATGTGGAAATATGCATAATAACACGAGAAAGGAGAAGCGATTCCCAGACCTTTCCAAATCCACACCGAAACTACACTGGGGCCATGCTTGACCCGCGACAGCCCTGGGGCCCCAGACCTTGCGCATGTTTCTGCGCACTGGGCTCGCCGTCCTCTGCAGGTCCCGACACGAACCCAAAGTAGTTTCTGTGTGAAATGTCGCATTTCACAGGCATCATCCATTCCTGGCTAAACCAAGTTGCAGCCGGCTCAACTTATTTTCTTACTGGGTTGTCTTGCAAGCGTCATCAGGCAAGCACACATAAGGATGGGCATGCCACGCAGATGTCGGCGCGAAAACTTTGTCTAGCCTCAATGACTCAACGAAGCCATCTATGCTCCAGGTGGCAGAATGAAGCACGGCAGATTCCTCGCGCTGCATGGATGGTCTTTGGAGTACCACTTCTAAAGAAAAGCGGCGGTCCCAAATCATTCATGAAATCCCAAGAAATATCTCAAGAGTGCTCACTAAGCAGTGCTGTCCTTGGATCCGGATGTCTCCGCAAGATGTTGCACAGCACCCTGCAAGCGCACGACGAAGTCCTGGCTTTGCATTGAACTGCTCTTTGAGCAAGAGCTTGAGTCCCAACCCAGTGTTCCACTCCCTCAGCTCAAGCTCTGCATGAGGCATTCGGTCTTAATAGCTTCTCTGGGGTGTTGTTTGGAAGATACAAACAAAATGCAGCTGACGCAGTGGGCCCACAACTTGGCTTTTTCCAACACTGCCGCGCATGGGCAAGGGACCGCACCAACCTTTAGCCCAGGCCTGCAGTACCCCACTAGCATTAGTTGTACGACACCAGTGGCTTTTAGCATTACCACTACTATTATCTGGCCAGCTCGGAGTGGGCTACTGCTCTGCCCTGCGCAGACTCTGCGCAGGAGCTCAGCTTTCAGAGCGGGGCAAGCGAGCAATCGCTCGAACAAAGACCCTGTAGAACTCGTCACGGTCAGTGATCCTGGGATAGCCAGAGTTGTCTTCAACTTTTCCCAACTCCCAAGCCAGCAATCCAGGACACATGTTTCCAACAACGCCAAGACGCTTTCTAAGCACGGTGCAGTTCTTGGGCTTGTTCCATTGGCCCTTCCAGTCAGCGATTGACATGCCCCGTGTGATCTCACCCTTGGTCTCGACTTCAACTCGCACCGACTGGCTCTCAAAGAGGTCGGGCCGAAGCAGGTACCTTGAAGCACAAAGTCAAATAGAATCACATTGCATGATGATGACAATGATGACAACCATCATGTTTAATGCTTACTGCCTCTCATGTCACTGCTCATTTCTGTTCTCTCCCATGTGTAGCACGTCTGACATCGTGATGTGGTGGTCCAAACACTTGTCCGCAAAAGCCCTAACAGGGACCGCAGCTTTGGATTCATGACAAAGGCGGTCCGTGGCACATGATGGGAACGGTGTCGTGTGCAGGAGCCAAGGTCTCACCCCAGTCCTGAGTTGCAATTCATTCAACAACACCATTACGGGGATTTCTGTGTCTACAATGTGCGTGAATCTAACAATCAGCAGCAGCGGCAGCTAAGGAAAGAGGATAAGGAATCCTGTTCCTCATACAGTACTCGCTCTACCATGGCACAAAACCCAACTGAAACAGAGCAAATAGAGTCTCTTGCAGGAACCATCCCCAGGCCCAAGGGTAGCACGCACAAGCTTATTGTGGCCTCTCTCCATAGCCGTATAGGGTCAAAGATTGAAAGTGAGATTTCAATCTCCTACTCAGCTTCCTCAAGCTGGCCGTGCAAAATGCCAGTTACAACTTGAAACCCTGTGGGGAAGCTTAGCCAGAAACATGACTCTCTCTGCCACCGCCGGTCTCCCCTTTCCATTCTTACCTCTTTGGGCCACAGCGTCGTGGTAGACGGAAATGAAATTCTCGCACAAGTCCCAGACAAACTGGGACAACGAAGATCCCGACTGCAGACACGCCTTGCGCAAGACCAGCATGTCGGTCTGGTGTGTAATGTCCAGGCCTGGAATCACACTGAAGCTTCAGCTTTGTACTATCCTGACTTCTCCTACTGTAGCCGGTAACATTACACCTGTCTGGACTCCAAATCTTCGCACAAAGATGCGGAGGCCTGCCAGGATCAGATGCTCAAAACCGGCAGTGAGCACCGCCTTCCAAGCCGAAGGCTTTGCTTGCTGGAGCATCAGAAAAATGACGTCAAGGCCCTTGGATACGAAATGTCTTAATTGGTGGTGCTCGTCTGCAAGGTGTCAGCTACAATTTCAGGTCATCGAATCTGCAGGCTCAGCCCCTCACGGCGCCTGCGCAGCATCTGGGTCATCAAAAAAGTTGGCTTCAGCAGAGGGTGTTCGGTTGCCACGCCGCTCACCGAAAGCGCCGCCCATGATGACCACCTCGCCTGCCAACAGTCACTAGCCGACAGGAACGCATCTGCCAAAGTTGGGAGTGCTCTGCACCTCCGAAAAGTGACAAGCATTCAAATGATCTTGCCACATGCACGTGAAGTTGAGCCCACTGAGAAGTAAAGGCATGCATTAAGTCACTTCTGAGCATGCTGTACTGACTCGTTGATGTTCCGCTTGTTGTGGCATCCAGATCCCCCCACTCAGATGGAAAACAGCTTAAAATAGTTTCCCTCCTGCCAGCAGTGCGAGAGTCCTTCATGGAATAACAGCCCACACTTTGCAAACATGCATATGCTTTTGAAAAGGACCAAGTACAGTTCAACTTGTCAGCAAAAGGACTTTTGGGAGGAGGCTTGGGGCAGCCACTACCATGACTTACTGGTTCTTAGTACGGAATGAGGAAACAAAGTCCCTATATAATCTCCCTAAGACCCTAAATCCTAAACCCTGATTCCCTACTAAGAACCAGCAAGATGAAAGAAACAGCCGTGGTGCGGAGCAGCTCCGGCAAGTCCGGGTGTGCGTCCAGGGCGGCAGCAAGGTTATGCAGGGGCCCAATGCAGACCAGTGTGATATCACGTGGATAGCCTCAGTTCGCCGAACCCAGAAGTATGCAGGCACCTTGCAGGGTGTCATGACCACTTCAACCCAACAACTCTGAACCTAACAAGGGCCAAGCAAGAAGCAAAGCACCAAAGTTCCTCAAATGCCAGCAGCGTTTACACAACTCGTAGATGAACTCGGGCGCATCTAGCTCATGAAATCCAGTACGGTCTGCGGCACATTTGCCATATTTGGCACCTGAGTTCGGTGGTGTCTGTGGTGCATCCAGGCACTGGTGCCTTCATGCATCTAGCATGAACTTGACATTGACATACCTTGTTTCAACACAGTTCTACTCCCAAACATCCTGATACAAAACCCTTGTCTTCATCTGCAGCCTGCGACAACGTGCATACCAAGAAGCTTACATTGCCCATGTGGTCTTCACCGTGCACAAGCGTTTTTTTCATGCCTTCGCGGCTGACCACCGCACCTGCAACTCCAGCTAATTACAAGAAACCAGGGATCCGTGTGCAAACCCCAGACGCCGACAACAGGAGAAAACTTGAATTTCATGGAGACTGTGATAAGAGGCCTAGCGTGACAACAGCGATGGCTCTGAAGGCAACAATCACCTTATTAGTTATATGCAGACGACGACCAACAATACTGAAAACAAAACCAACGACCATAGTGATGAGCATCGGCCTGCATCGTCATGGTCACCGACAGCCGAAGGCTGCCGGCCGAGAGCAACCGGAGCTTTCATTTGGCCGGCCAACCGAAGGATCAGCTTGGCATTGGATCCTCAGGATCAGGTTTAGCAATCTCCAGAAAAAAAGATTTCAGTTTGAAGGCGTACAGGCTGCAGATTCTCTCCGCGGACTTTTCAATGTTGCCAAGCAACCGAGCGCTGCAATATCCTCACATGAGCACTCTGACAATCGATCCCTCACACGGATTTTGAAACGGCGCACGAAGGTGGATGGATTGGAACAAATGCTCCTTGCCATTCCCAAATGCTATGGACAATCCTTCCAACTTCAGCTCAGGGGAGCCCGAAGCCAGGAGGATGGCCAATGCATCGTCCACACCTGTCACGTTGTCACAGGCGTGATGATGAGCTCATCCTTTGCGCCTGCATGGCCTGGATCTGTGTCGATGATGACGCGTCGGGCATGAGTGCCACGACCTTCGGACACATGTGACATAGAAAGCTTCATCCATGGAATGCCCCACTTTCACGCCACCAGTAGGACTTATGCAGGCCTGCCGCTTGGTGCAGTCCCACGTCACAAGATGTGAAGTGCTGCCGCCCAGCCAACACATGCGCAGACGCACTGAAGACCTCAGCAACGTAACACAAGATACGGAACATGACAGTGGCCCAATTCCAGCGATCAACATAAGACATCCAAGCGAGACATTGATGCTTAACACATTGCCAAATTTCGTTTGCCCCAGCTTCTGCAAGAAACAACAGCCAGCAAATCAAGTTCCCCCCCCTTGCAACTGATTTCGCTCTTTGGCACAGAGGCTCCGACAGCAATGCCGGGTCGGACCCAGCCATGTGCTACTCGCCGCAAGCAACGCCAGTGCATCAAAACAAGCTGGATTGCTAAAATGTGACAAGCTGGTAAAAGCACGGTCCCACAACCCCAAACGCCCACAGTTACCACATCAAAACCAATTTCCTTGGCAACAGTGTTGTGCAGCCTCGGCCTGTGAACATGGATGCGGATGAAAATGGCAATCATAGTAACAACAACAAAGTCAACAGCTGACTAAACTGCAAGTGATGAATAGCAGTGAGATCCATGACAGTAATGGTTGTGGCGCAAAGCGTCTTGATTGCGGTCCGCAAATCCGAACATCAATGATGAAAATTGTTGCGCGGGCAACGTTTGCCAAACCGCACGCAATTGCGAAGCAACATGCAAAGCAGCCAGGCTTGGCCTGCATCTGGACATGCAACTCTGTGCAGACGGCAACGTCTGCTTGGGTCGGCATGTGGCCGATTGCGAATTACAGATGGCAACAAGGCCGACAGTTGAACAGGGCTGACCAAGTTTATGTGAGCTACATCCAATGCTTCCTACACATCTTAATGGACAGACTTTCCTTATTAATGCCATTATACGGGACTACATAAGACCACAAGACGGACCCCTAATCATGGGCCCATAAATAAGTCAAATATTGTCAATAGCTCAGGTAGGTTCATTTTTTGGCCACACAAAACCGCGTGGCCATATCTGACAAACAACACACAGGCTCGCACGGAAGCTTGCGACATGAACTTCTCAGAATCTGTGAAGGCTGCAGCACTGTCGAGCCACGGCATACACGGCACATGTTTTGGGTACAGGCTGTCAAATGATGACCTGGGCATGCCGCCGATTGAAAAAATCTCAAAAACGTCCATTAATCCAAGAGCTTGGTGTAACAATTTTATTGAAGTTGTGCAATACATTTGTGCTAGCTTGCACACAGGTATACCAATTTGCCGGCACCAATCCAACAAAAAGTATCGCGGTTCAAAATGTGACAAATGTACAAAACCACCAATTTTCAATCGAGCGATATGTTCCTGTCCCTCAACAGGTTCAACCCGATATATACCTCAAACATAGGAAGCCCTCAAGCTGCTCCCGAATCCCGATTCCCGATTTGATATTCCCAACTCACACACATGTGCATGAAAATTTGAAAAACTGCACTAACCGGCGGGCAGCACGGCATATCCTGCACACATGCTTCCCAACGCAAACATACCACTTCTCCTATCAATACGAATACAAAGCCGATCCAAATAATAGTGATGAATGACTAATCCATGACAAAAAACGGATGTGAAAATTTACATCGTGGCGCTACGGAAAGATATGAAAAAAACACTTTGCGGCCCCAAAATCACGACTCAGAAAAATATATTTGAATTTACATTTGAACTGAACTTTGCTTTGGGCCATTTTGTAGAAGTTTTCATCTTTGTCGCAATAACCATGCCCCACACAAATTTCCCATGACATGTTGCCGTGTGAAAGCAAGAACTGCAAAACATTTGATATCATGAAATACTGCACAACAACAACAACAGGATATGCCGCCCACAATCGTTCAAGCGCGCTTGGAATTTTGTTTCTCGTTATTGCTGCTGGACCGTAATAGGAAAATTCACTATTAAAATGTATTTGCATCTCTAATATCAAAATTCTCACTCGCTCACCCTCAATTTTCACTCGTGTGGGGCGAATCATGTTCTCTGCTTTGTTGTGTCCGATATGCATCTGTCTGTGATGCACATCATATGCGTCTTGGGGGAAATGAAACCTTCCTCCCACCTAATTCTGGGAAACAGAATGTGTCTCTACAGCAGTGAAACTCCCTCTCGCGGAAACCTTACCTCGCTTCCTGAAGCATCACGGAACTTCCAACTAATTTCAACTGGATACGGCCAGAGCTAGTCGCCCACATATACGGTGTATTCTCACAGGGCGACAACATGTGTCGTGAAAAAACAACATCATTGGTCGTCAAATGACTACTCTGCGGCTGTAAAAGGTCGACTGTAGGAGTTAATAATAATGAGCCTGAACGCCTTGAGCCAAGAGACTTGAGGATGGTTTAAAGTTT